TTCTGATAAAATGAGAATCCATGGATTATTTATTATCTGCAAAAAATGCAAGGACTTTGGTCAAAAGAGATCACCTGTCACAGGTTTGCTTTACCGAGTTTTTCAAAATCAGGATATTTCGTAAGTATGGTATGATGAGTTAATCATCTAACGTGTGACTATGCAAATCAGCTGCCATTGATCTCCCATTGTTGATCCATTCTGGGTTGTGCTGTTGGAGAATTACGTCTTCCTAGTACAGTAGACCAAGTATAATTAGGAGCCTTCACTACTGTCCTGAAACCTAAACGGATAATGAATATTCCAACAAATGCCAAAAAAATGACCATCAATGCCTTTGACAAAAGGCAAATGGATTATTTACGCAAATGGAAAACTGAACCTGACGAGTGGAATTTTCCAATAACAAGCTTATGGAGGAAAAGGGTTTTTGGATACCAATTTGGCTTAGAGCAACATAATTCCATAGAATGCCATGGCAGCAACTTTAGCGGCTGTTCCCACGGCCATGCACCGCGGTCTGCTTCCCAGCCAGAGACGGCACTGGGACTTTCCTAACTGCCTGTGCGCTGTCAGAAGTCATGAGCTGGTGATATTGGTGAGAACTCACAGCAGTAGCAGCCTAGAGCTTAGATGGTCTGTGTCTGTGTTTCTACTTTCTCCTTTTTCTCACCCTAAATGACTGATTTCAATTTGTCCAATTTTTAATAGTGCTGAATACCTTGCGATGATATGTGAATTCAATATTGTGCGTTTATTTCCACTGGGAATTTATTCTCATGGTCTGCTTAGAGCTGATAGGGGCTTAGAAATCTTCAGCTTCTTCCTTTTTGCAGATGAGAGGACTGGGATCCGTAAAGGTGAGATGATTTATTCGGAGATACAGCTGGAGACCATGAGAGGCAAGACTGGAACTCACAGCTCCCGAAGCTCACACTAGTGTAGTTTTTCTCTGCACCACTTTGTCTCAGTTGAACTTGAGACCACAGGAGAGGTAGAAAGCTTGGCCCACTTCTTCACTGATTTTAGAGAAACTTCTGAATGAAAAGTCAGTCTCGGTGGAGCTCTGTTACAGCACAGGCTATGATGTGTTTTAAAATATACTGTGAGGGCCGGCGCCGCGGCTCACTAGGCTAATCCTCCGCCTTGCGGCGCCGGCACACCGGGTTCTAGTCCCGGTCAGGGCGCCGGATTCTGTCCCGGTTGCCCCTCTTCCAGGCCAGCTCTCTGCTGTGGCCCGGGAGTGCAGTGGAGGATGGGCCAAGTGCTTGGGCCCTGCACCCCATAGGAGACCAGGAGAAGCACCTGGCTCCTGCCTTCAGATAGGCGCGGTGCGCCGGCCACGGCGGCCATTGGAGGGTGAACCAATGGCAAAGGAAGACCTTTCTCTCTGTCTCTCTCTCTCTCACTGTCCACTCTGCCTGTCAAAATATATATATATATATATATATACATACTGTGAGGAATGATGTTCTATTCCTCAAAAAAAAAAATGGAATTACCATATGATCCAGCAATCACAATTCTAAGTATATATCCAAAATAACAGAAAGTGGGATCTCAGAGAGGTTTTGCACACCCGTGTTCAAAGCAGCACATTTCACAACAACCATAAGCTGGAAGCAACCCACGTGTCCATCAACACATGGATGGATAAAGGACAGGTGCTGTGTATGAACAATGGACAGTCTTTCTTTTCAAAGACTTACTCTTATGTATTCAAAAGGCAAAATGGCAGAGAGAAATGGAGAGACAGAGAGAGCAAGAGATCTTCCATCTGTTGCTTCACTCCCCAAACATTTGCAACAGCTGAGGCTGAGCCAGGCTCAAGCTGGGAACCCAAAACTCCATCCAGGTCTCCTTCCTGGGGGGCAGGGACCCGACTGTTTGGACCGTCACCACAGCCTTCCTAGGTGCATTGGTAGGGAGCTGGATCAGAGGCAGAGCAGTCGGGATTTAAAGCAGCCCTGTGCTATGGGATGCTGGCGTCACAGGTGGTGGCTTACCCCACTGTGTCACAATGCCAGCCCCAAAAGGAGGGGAATTCTGACACATGCTACAACATGGATAAAACTTGAAGACCTCATCCTGAGTGAAATAAGCCCATCGAAAAGGACAAATACTGTATAATTCCACTTTTATGAGGTTCCTGGAGCAGTCAAAATCACAGGGACAGAAATCAGAATGGTGCTTGCCAAGGGCTGAGAATAAGAGAGAACAAGAGAGAACCTCTAGTTTAAGAGGAGCAGAGTTATCTGTTTTACAAGTTTTAGTTCTCTAGTTTTACAAGAAGGGAGTTCTGGAAAAGGTTCTGTTGTACACAATGAGAATGGGTCTTATCCTACTGAACGACACACTTACAAGTGGTTATGAGGGCAAATTGTGTAATGCATGGGTTTTTTTAACCAGAATTCTATTTTTAATTTTTTAAAGAATTATTGAATTTTGAGGCAGAAAGTTACAAAATAGGAACTCATTGCAGGTCTCTCATGTGGGGGACAGGAACGCATTCACTTGCGCCATCACCTGTCACCTCCCGGGCTCTGCACTAGCAGGAAGCTGCAGTCAGGAGCCAGGGGCAGGGATTGAACCCAGGTCCTCTGATATAGGATGCATGCAACTTTTTTTTTTTTTTTTTGGACAGGCAGAGTGGACAGTGAGAGAGAGAGAGAGAGACAGAGAGAAAGGTCTTCCTTTGCCGTTGGTTCACCCTCCAATGGCCACCGCGGCTAGCGCACTGTGGCCGGCGCACCGCGCTGACCCGATGGCAGGAGCCAGGTACTTCTCCTGGTCTCCCATGGGGTGCAGGGCCCAAGCACTTGGGCCATCCTCCACTGCACTCCCTGGCCACAGCAGAGAGCTGGCCTGGAAGAGGGGCAACCGGGACAGAATCTGGCACCCCGACCGGGACTAGAACCCGGTGTGCCAGCACCGCAAGGCAGAGGATTAGCCTAGTGAGCCGCGGCGCCAGCCGGATGCATGCAACTTAACTAGCATCTTAACTGCCAGGCCAAATGCCCACTCCTTAACTATTTTTTTAAAAAATGTATGTATTTATTGAAAAGCAGAGTTACAGAGAAGCAGAGGCAGAGAAAGAGAAAGAGAGAGAAGTCTTCCACCCCCTGGTTCACTTCCCAGATGGCCGCAACAGCTAGAGCTGAGCTGATCCAAAGCCAGGAGCCAGGAGCTTCTTCCGGGTCTCCCACATGGGTGCAGGGGCCCAAGCACTCGGGCATCTTCTACTGCATTCCCAGGCCATAGCGGAGAGCTGGATCAGAAGTGGGGCAGCTGGGACTCGAACCAGCGCCTTTATGGGATGCCAGCACTGCAGGCGGTGGCTTTACCCATTATGCCACAGCGCCGGCCCTTCTTAACTATAAAGAAAGAGAGAAAGAGAGAAAAATGGAAGGCAGGCAGGAAGGGAGGAAGGGAGGAAGGGAGGAAGGAGATTTGAATATAAGCAGCAGAAATAATCTGGGCTCAAGATCAGACACCCTTTTATTGCAGGTCTGTGTGGTCAGAAAAGGCTCAATTTTGCACGAGCCGGCTGTGGAGGCACCCAACACGAAAACATGATGAACATTCCTTTCTCTTCTCAAATGTCACCCAAAGAAATATTTTTGTATCACTTTCCCAGGTTCCAAATCCGCTCAGAAAAATCAACCCTAAGACCTTTCTGTCTGCTACATAATATAACTGAGACAACTAATTAAAGTTTCACTGAGAAGTCTGTTGGACAGATGGTTTCACTATTTTAATTAAGTATATCTATTAGACTGTTGGAATTAATATATCTAACACGACAGACGTTTTTCTGTGCTCATTTAGAATTTTAAGTCATTTACTATCCGTGTGGTGTCAGAAAGAGGGACCCTGGTGAATTTTGTTCTATTCAGTTTAGCAGTGTATTCATATTTTGCCATTTTATAGCAATTTCTGAGCAGACCTCAGTATGACATGTAAAGAGGAAATCTTGAAGAAATAGAGGGTGTTTTTTTCCATAGGCATGAGAACTAATTTTAGTGACCATGAATTCAATTTCAATACTTTCAAATTGCACATGGGGTTTTCTATTGTGCTTCAAGTCTTGTCTTTCCCAGTCCCGGTGCTACTACAAGACGTAAAATCCTTCCCTGTGCATGCACCATCCTGAACCTCTAAGTGATCCCCGGCTCTCAAGACCCCATTTCCAGCCAGCGCCGCGGCTCACTAGGCTAATCCTCCACCTGTGGTGCCAGCACCCCGGGGTTCTAGTCCTGGTTGGGGCGCCGGTTCTGTCCCAGTTGCTCCTCTTCCAGTCCAGCTCTCTGCTGTGGCCTGGGAGTGCAGTGGAGGATGGCCCAGGTCCTTGGATCTGCACCCCATGGGAGACCAGGAGTAAACACCTGGCTCCTGGCTTCCGATGGGCGCAGCGTGCCGGCCACAAGGCGCCGGCCGTAGCGGCCACTTGGGGGTGAACCAACAGAAAAAGGAAGACCTTTCTCTGTCTCTCTCTCTCTCTCTCACTGTCTAACTCTGCCTGTCAAAAAAAAAAAAAAAAAAAAAAGACCCCATTTCCTCCACTATCTCCGCTAACCCATCTCTCTTCCTTAAATACTGTCCTCACCGTGTGACACTCTAATTTTTAATTTTTTTTTTGGACAGGCAGATTGGACAGTGAGAGAGAGAGACAGAGAGAAAGGTCTTCCTTTGCCGTTGGTTCACCCTCCAATGGCCACCGTTGCCAGCGCACCGCGCCTATCTGAAGGCAGGAGCCAGGTGCTTCTCCTGGTCTCCCATGGGGTGCAGGGCCCAAGCACTTGGGCCATCCTCCACTGCACTCCCTGGCCACAGCAGAGAGCTGGACTGGAAGAGGAGCAACCGGGACAGAATCTGGTGCCCCAACGGGGACTAGAACCCGGTGTGCCAGCGCTGCAAGGCGGAGGATTAGCCTAGTGAGCCGCGGCGCTGGCCCGACACTCTAATTTAGGAACCTAAGTCCCCTGATCTCGAGCCCAATCTCCCACTCCTAGTTCCCAAGGCCACCAGATACTTGTCCTTGCCCGGGTTACTCATGCTCATTTTTTAAGAGGTATCCTGGCTGCTTTGCCCATGCCACCTCCTCGAATCTCCACCCTGGAGGGTACTCAGCCTCAGTCAGGGCTCATATCCCCCCATTAGATCCTCTCTCAACCACTTCACCCCCAAGATGTTTCTCAATCATCAAAACCCAGATTGCACATCCTTAAACCTCTGCCCAAGACACACACGCACATGTCCAGCAGCTAGCATTGTGGCACCGTGGGTTAAGCCACTGCCTGCAATGCCAGTACCCTGTGTCAGAGTGCTGGTTCAAGCTCTCATGGCTCAGCTTCCCACCCAGCTCCCTACTGATGTGCCTAGGAAAGCAGCAGAAGACAGCCCAAGTACTTAGAACCCTGCCACCCACATGGGAGACCTGGATAAAGCTTCTGGCTTCTAGCTTCCGCCTGGCCCCGCCCTGACCAATGTGACTATTTGGGGAATGGACCAGAAGATGGAAGGTCTCTTTCTCTCTGTCTCTCCCTCTCTCTTTGTAACTATGCCTTTCAAATAAATAACAAACTTTAAAAAAAAGTAAGTGTGCCCACAGAAGGCTTTCCGCAAATGCTTATAACATCCGTATTCATAAGAGCCCCAAGCTGGAAACAGTGCAAATGTGTATGAACTGGTGAGGGGGACGTGCAGTGAGCCGTGGTGTGTCCATGGAATGGTCTACTCCCCAGCAACAAAATAAATCAGGAAACTGTTGACACAAGCTACAACATGCATAAACCTCAAAACCATTGTACTGAGTCAAAGAAGACAGACACAAAAGATCATAAATTGTGTGATTCCATTTATATGAATGTCCAGACACGGCAAATCTAAGTCTACTGAGACAGATGATGTTGCCCGAGCCTGGAAGTAGAAGTGGAGAGGAAGACAAATAGGCACTAGAGTTCTTTCTGGGGTGATAGAAATGTTCTAAAAATGGATTTGGTGGCAGTGGTTGGACAGTTACAAATTTGTTGCATCTCACTATTTTTTGCATACTGCAAAAAAGTGAAGCCTAGAGTTGGTAAAATGATTCACATTATTATTCATGTAAAAATCCTTTACACCATTAAAATGCTTTTAAACCTAGGCGACATCCCTTCCAGCCACACTCCCTGCTGTGACCTTCAAAAAATACTTAGGGGTCACAGCACATCCACTTGGGCCATGGAGGTATGCCGGGGCATGTTGGTCTTGGGGTTTGGGGAGTTTAATTCCTTCTCTGAGGAAGTCTTCTGATAACCGTGAGTACTGCACATCCCTTTACTGTGTTCACACAGTTTTCACCCTCGGCTGGGGCTCAGAGCCCTTGAGTTTACCCTTGGTCTCCCTGTTCACACTGATGTTCCTTGGTGATGGAGTAAGCTCGGCCACAGGTAGGTTGGGTGTTCGGCCCACCTGCCAGACTCCCCTCCCATTGGCATTTGTTCTTCCAGTCTTAGTGGCAGCTCTTCCACCTTTCTTTCCTCCTAGGAAAGGCCATTCGGGTATTTACAACATTATTTGCAGGTCATACGGAATTATCAACCTAACGATGAGCCTGCCGTCGATCTACTAAATTTCAAGTCCTACCTGTGATTGCCTGGACAGGGTCAGACCAAATGACCTTGTGGGCCAGCCTGCAGGTTGGACATTCCCCCCCGCCACTCCCCCAATAAGAGGAAAATGAGTCTTTCCCCAAGCTCAGATCACTTTGAAATTCTTGCTTCCCTATCACCCAGTCCAGCACTCATTTTCCTCTAAGCTCTAGGCACACTTGGCTTTCTCACGGGAACATGTCGCCTGCACTCAAGTGTGATGCACCATTGGGTCCAATCATCCTGTGGTTGCTGGCTTATCGTGGTGGACCTTAAAGTCTTTTTTCAACTTTAGGATGGTACAAAACATATCTATACAGCCATTCTGTTTTTAACTTTTGGTGCAGTATTTAATACATTGCAGGAGACATTGAACTATTATAAAATAGGCTTTGTGCTGGATGATTTTCCCCCACTATAGATGAACGTGAATGTTCTGAACATGGCAAGGGAGGCTGGGTTCACCTAGGATGAGCACCACTGTCTACATCTCCTCAATTAGGAAGCTCCTGGCACAGCACAGCGTGCCACTGCAGCTTGGCCAGCCAGAACAAAAAGTCCTGCTGAGCCCTTGTGCTGATCCCTGCACTTTATGACTGTGGCCCAGGAGTGAAAGGAATTTTCTGGAAGCGCCCCCACACTGCTGAGTCATTGGGCTCATCACTAACGACCTTCACTTCTTTGTCACTCTGAACAGCCAGCTACGGCTCTTCCTCCTTGTACTGGTAGAGTTGTGATTTGGGGAACTAGATTCATAATTTTCCACGGGTCTCTTTCATGCACCAAGTTGGGAGATATAACCGCATGTTCCAGATTAGAGAGTTTTCACTTTTCCTCTTCAGGAGAGCATCATTCTGACTACCTGACATGGTCATCCAGTCCATCACTCCACCTTACTCCACTTGAGTTGTGCAAAGTCTATAATTTACCCATCACAATGATCATTGGTTTGTATGTCAGTTTAGGTGCAGGTAACTGGGGTCTGGCGTTGACTTCAACAAATAGATTTTTATTTGTTTCACAAAAGTATGTCTGGGGCTAAGCAGGGAAGGCCATCAGGGACTCTGTTCTTTCCATCTGGCTCTGCTTCTGTGTTCAGAATGGTTGCCTTGTTGCTACAGATGACTGCTGGGCACTTCCCGCCACTGCTGTGTCAGGGCCCCAGCTGGAGGAGAAAGAAGACAGGCAGCTGGCTGAAGGGTCTCTCCTCTTCCCTGGGGTGTGTGTGGGGGGTGTCTTTGCCTTCTTCCTTGAAGCAGGGGCGCCTCCCCAGGTAGTTCTGCCTGCACGCCATTGTCTAGAGGTGCAGGGTGTTTAGTACAAAGCATGGTTCTACCTGTGCTGCCTGAGTGGTTCTCCCAGTTTTGCTGTGTGCTTTGTTTGCCATTCTCGTCAGGGCTTCCTGAGTCACAGGTGGGACACCCAAAGTCCTTGGCAGCCACCAGCCACCCCGAGCCTCTCCCTCACTCCACTTGGCACGGATGGGGAATTCTTGCTCCTGTCCCTGGCTCCTCTGAGGGAGGGTCTTCCCCCCTAAACTTCCAGGTGGGAATTGTATAGTTGACCTCCAGCCCTGGGTGGCTGAGAAGAAGGGAAAATAGCAGATATATATTTTTAAAATTCCCTGTGTCAGGCTGAGCAAAGAAATTTAAAAAAAAGGTGTGGGGTTGGGGTGGGGGACCTCAGCTTAATCGATTTCTAGCCATAACTTGCAGAAATCAAAATTACAAGTTGCAGGTAAAGTTCGTGTCTGTGCAGCCAACTCACCCAGTCTAAAAGCTCTTCCTCCTATCTTCCACGTGCAGGACACCTGAAGCCAAGCAAGAGCTAGCAGAATAGCTGTGGTTGCAGGCCATCAGCACCCTACACAGTGCTGGGAATAGTAGATCATACTCCGTCTCTGTGTAACACGGTCAGGGTCATGGCACCGAGGAAGCATAAGTGTTGGGTTTACATCTGGGGACAGCAGAAGCACACAGCTGATAAGGGACTTAGGAAAGGATGGGATTCGAAGGGAGGTTAAATTCAGTCCAAGGTCTAGTAAACAGTAGGTGATGTAAAAATGTTTCCTTAAGCTTTCCCCCAAACAAACTCAATATTGTGAGAATCTGGAAGGCGAAGAGGGTCAAGCATGTCCTGCAGGAGAGAGAGAGAGTGAATGAATGTGCCGGAGAGCCCTCCAGTCCCTGTCCTACCCCTGTTTCATTGAGATGAGACGTGTTTCCTTACAGAACTGGATCAGCACAAAGCAATCATTGCTCACAACAGCGCCCCAAGGAGTGTGCTGTGACACAAAGGATAATGGCAGCAGTCCACTTCTGAGCGATGTAGAGAATGCCCAAGACACAGCCGGCCTCCCAGAAGCAAGGACAGCATCATCTGGACACAAAAAGTCTATGAAAAATGGGTCAAAACCACGTGAAATCAAAGGAAAAGTCCCTACCTAGGGCAAGGAAAAGCTAAAGCTAAGACGTTTAGAGATTTCAGGAACAAAATAAACATGATCATCATCAGTAACAATTTTAATAAGATTTTTTTCACTAGAACAGCCCTGTTTTGTTACAAGGACTTTAGTGGAAGGACAGAAATCTGTCTCTATCTGGCAGAGATGTCTGGGAGCCTCCATCCAGGTCACCAAGCTTAGCAAAGGCAGGCCTGCAGGATGCACCAGGCCCCAGTCCCAGAGGGCTTTCTAGAAAAGTTACTGGACATATTTAGAATGCAAAGGGACATATTCAGCCTCAACTGCTTTTCAAATAAAGAAAAGGGGGCTTCATACCATATAGAATATTTCACAAGACTATGTGGAAGGGTTTGAGAGGGGAGGATGCTACTGGTGCATGGCTGTGAAGCCAGCTTCCCCCTTGCTTAGAAACAGGTGGGTGACCTCATCCCATCCTTGCAGAGAGCAGCACATTTAGCCCAACCACTGCCACCAAGTGTTGGTGCAAATGCACAGACCTGGGATAAAAAAACCCGTCACTAAAAACCATTAAAAATCTACCAGGGTTTCTGTGTTCCAACTAGAGCGCTCAGTACTCTAAAAGCCCTAGTTTCTTGATGCATCCCAGCAAGCTATGAGTGGTGCCATTTAACAGGTGGTGCCATGAGTTTTGTAGAAAAGTTAACTTCCGCATTGTCACAGCCCACCAGCCAGGAGCAGCAGAACCACCCTGCCCAGCCCAGCCCCGATCTGCTGAACTCCATAGGTTCCTGAATCAATGCTGTCGACTGTCTGCCCTGGAGTTCTATGATGGCTTGACAGCCTCTCTCACCATCTCCCTGGGGTCCCAGAAAACAGTGCCCCCTCCATCTCCTGTGCAGGGCAGCAGCAAGGAGGTCCATGAGCCATGCAGACCTGTGTGTTTGGGGACACATCCTTGCCCCTCTTAGAGCCCACGTGCTCTTCGAGAAGCCCTGAGAATGGGTGAAGACCACAGCCCCTGCAAGGCCTCAATAGCCTAGGGCCTGAGACCTGTGGGCCCAGGACAGCCCTGGTACCCATTGTTGGCAAACGACAGGTTGCTTTGGCTTTGTTTTGTATTTTTAAGATCTATGTTTATTTTGAAAGTCAGAGTTACAGAGAGAGAGGGAGAGACAGAAAGAGAAAGAGAGATCTTCCACCTGCAGGTTTACTCCCCAAATGGCCATAGCAATCAGGGTTGGGCCAGGCCAAAGCCAGGAGCCGGGAGCTTCCTCTGGGTCTCCCACATGGGTGCAGGGACCCAAGCACTTGGACCATCTTCTGCTGCAGGGCACATTAGCAGGGAGCTGGATCAGAAGTGGAGCAGCTGGGCTGGCATTGCAAGAGGAGGCTTTACCTACTACAACACAATGCTGTTCCCAGCAAACCACAGGTTTACCTGAGCCGCCAGCTATGGGAACCCCAGGGCCTGCTCAGGGTCACCAGAAAAATGGGCAGAAGTATGTGCTGGTCAGAGAGAATCTGCCACCAGATGCTTTGTTCCAAGTAGTCAGGCCCCAAAGCCAAGTCCCCTATAGACTCAGGCCCCTGCAGTCCTCCAAGGCCCAGCGGACACTACCCAGGGTGCAGGACTGTTCCCAGGGAAAGCCGGCATAGGCCGAGACAAGGCCAACTCTCCATGCAACACCACAGCTGCAGGTGGTCAGGCTCCTTGGCCTGTTTCTTACCTGCAAAACAGGAAGTCTGGAGCCAGTGGGATGCATTCTCCTCCACCCATGTTGACATCCTAAAAGACCATGGTCCCATGCACCAGATGCCACTTCTCCTAGGAAATGCTAAGATGCCTGTACGGGAAAGCCAGGAAATGGGGAGAAAAACACATTCAACACAAACTCCCATGAGATCCAGGCCCGACTGCAGCCAGTCCACTGCTTCTGCAGCCTATGCATTGGCAGCTTCAACTCACAAGGGATCAAAGATATTCAAACAGGGGCCAGCGTGGTGGTACAGACCGTTAAGCTGTAGCTTGCAACACTGCCTGGCACCCTGTATCGGAGTGTTGGTTCGAGCCTCAGCTGCTGCACTTCCAGGCCAGCTCTCTGCTGACATGTGAATGCAGCAGAAGATGGTTCAAGTACCTGGGGCCCTGCTGTCCATGTGGGAGACCCGGATGGAGTTCCCGGCTCTTGCCTGTGGCCATCTGAGGAGTGAAGCAAGGAACGGAAGATCTCTCTCTCTCTTTGTGTGTCTCCCTTTCTCTCTGCCACTCTTAGTTTGCCAAATAAACAAAACTATGTCTGTACCAAGCACATACAGACTTTTTTCCTTGTCACTATTCCTTAAACAATGCAGCATAACAACTACTTAACCTAGTATTTACATCGTATTGGGTATTTTAAGTAATCTAGACAGGATTCAAAGTCTACAGGAAGATTGCATCAGTTATTTGAAATCAGTACACCATTTTCTAGAAATGTCCTGAGCACTGTGGATTGTGGTTATCTGTGAGGGTGGGAGGAGGGGGCTGGTTCCTGAGAGCAACTGCCCCTCCCCCGCAGACTGCAGGACTGCTGTACCAACCAGCTGTGCATCACCGTGCTGTCCCCTAAACCGTCTGCTCCACAGTGGCAGCATCTTGCTGCTGCCATGGTAACTGAACATCATAGGAAAGATGAGCACAGGGCCTGTGGGAAGGTAGCAACTTTTCCCTTAGGTGGCCAGTGCTGGGAGTATGGCGCCAAGCCTCTGGACACAGCACACCGGCCCTGCTACTCTGCCACTCCAGCTGAATGCAGTCCCACAGCAATCAGAAGACAGCTCCCATTTGTACAGTTTGAAGACTCAGACATAGACATGGCCAGCCGCCCAGTGGGCACTCCCATGCCGCCACGGCCTGGTGAACCCGGGACCTGTTCAAAGCCATTCAAAACCGGGAAGTGTGTTAACTGTGATCTGAGCCAAAATGCCTATTTTTGAGTCCTTATTAAGTTTTTAAAAATCCTTTCATGATTTAAAGCATAAACACTCCTTAACATTCACAAAACTGTAGTTTGTGTGCATGTTTTTTTTTTTTAAAGATTTATTTTATTTATTTGAAAGGCAGAGTTACAGAGAGGCAGAGGCAGAGAGAGACAGAGTGTTCCATCTGCTGATTCACTCCCCAGATGGACGCAATGGCCAGAGCTAGGCCAGACCAAAGCCTGGAGCCAACAGCTTTTTCTGGGTTTCCCATATGGGTGCAAGTGGCACAAGCACTTGGACCATCTTCTGCTGCTTTCCCAGGCCATTATCAGGGAGCTGGATTGGAAGTGGAGCAGCCGGGACTCAAATTTGCATCCATATGGGATGCCTGAATTCACAGGCAGAGGCATTACCTGCTACGCCACAATGCTGGCCACTGTGTGCATGTTTTAGTGATTGTAAAACATCAAAGACTGTTCCATTCCTCAAACATCCATTTTTGTGTCTCATAGATTAAAAATGAGATACCTTTTAAATCCAGATTTCCACCTATGAATACCTTATTCTGAGATTCCATTTCATTTTTGAATTTCTTTAGTCTGGAAAATTTGGATTGAAACAATTTTAATTGTAGTTAACATACGGAATTAACCATCTTAACCATTTTTAAATGTACACTTTGAGATGTTAGGTACACTCACACGGTTGGGCAACAAATCTCCAAAACTTTTTCATCTTGCAAAATTGAAACTCTATACACATCAAAGAACAACTCTCCATTCCCCCTCCTCTAGGTCCCTGGCAACCATGATTCTACTTCCTGTTTCTATGAATTGCACTCTTCTAGACACTCATCAAGGTAGACTCATACGCTATCTTTCTGTGACTAGATCTTTTCACTTCTCATTACTTCAAGATTCATCCACATTCGAGCATGCAACAGGATTTCGTCCTTTGGAAGGCTTCGTAGCATGCCATTGTATGGACACACTACATTTTGCGTTTCCGGTCATCTGTTGACAGATACTTGAGTTGTCTCTCCTGCTTGGCTATTGTCAACAATGCTGCTACAAAAAAAAAAAAAAATGCTGCTACAAACATGGGTGTGAAAACCTCTGTTCAAGACCCTGCTGCCATTTCCTTGGGATAGGTGCTCAGAGCTGACATCACCGGGTCATACGCTGCTTTGGTGCTGAATTTTTTAAGGAACAGCCATAGTAGTTTGCCAAATGGCTGCACCATTTTACGTTCTCACCCGCACTGCATGAATTTTCTGATACACTCTTGCCAACATTTGCTATTTTGGGGTTTTTCCTACTGTTCAGCCAATGTTGAGCTTTGCTTTCATGTTCTTGTTGAGTTGTTTGGATATCTTTGGCGAAATGCCTGCTCAAGTCCTTTTTCTCCTTTTTCGAGTGACTTGTTGTCACTACTCTTGTTGACTTGTAGGAGTTCTTTCTGTATTTTGCATATTACCTTGTTCTCAGACACATGATTTTCAAGTATTTTCTCTCATTCCATAAGTTTCCTTTGCACTCTGCTGATCATGTCCTGTGGCTCAGAAATTTTCAAGTTTGGCATGGTTTGCCTATTTTTCCCTTTGTTTCCTATACTTTTGGCTTTCTAGCTAAGAAATTATTACCAAATTGCATGTCATGTAAGCTTTTACTCTGTTTTCTTCTAGAAATATCACAGGTTTTGGTCTTACATTTAGCTCTATAACCCATGTTGGGTTAATTTTTGTGTGCAGTGTAAGGCTATGTGAACATGCGGTTGTCCCTGCTCACTTGTCAAAGAGATCATGATTTCGCTGTTGAATGGTCTAGCACTCTCCTCAAAACCATGTAACCAAATAGATGAAAGTTTATTTCTGGGCTGCCTGCTCTATTCCATTGTTCTATAGGTCTATCTTTTTGACAGCATTATAATGGTTTGATTCTTGTAGCTTTCTAACATATTTTTAATTGGGAAGTGTGAGACCAAAGACGTTGTTCACTTACAAGATCATTTTGTCTGCTCCATGTGCCTGGAGATTCCATATGCATTTTAGGGTGGGTTTTTCTGTATCTGCAAAAGAAAAATGGGGGCATTATCAGGGATTGCATTTGATCTGTAGATTGCCTTGGATGGTGTTGATTTGTTAACAATATTGAGTCTTCCAATCCATGAACATGGGATGACTCTCCATTTGTTTGTGTTTTCTTTAACTTCTTTTCTTTTTTTTTTTTTTTCCCACAGGCAGAGTGGACAGTGAGAGAGAGAGAGACAGAGAGAAAGGTCTTCCTTTGCCATTGGTTCACATTCCAATGGCCGCTGCGGCTGGCGCGCTGCGGCCGGCGCACCATGCTGATCCAAAGCCAGGAGCCAGGTGCTTCTCCTGGTCTCCCATGGGGTGCAGGGCCCAAGCACTTGGGCCATCCTCCACTGCATTCCCAGGCCATAGCAGAGAGCTGGCCTGGAAGAGGGGCAACCAGGACAGAATCCGGCGCCCCAACCGGGACTAGAACCCGGTGTGCCGGTGCTGCTAGGCGGAGGATTAGCCTATTGAGCCACGGTGCCAGCCTTCTTTAACTACTTTTAGCAACATTTTGTAGTTTCCAATGCACTTTCAGCATTTTTTTGTATATGTCTTTCCCTTCCTTTGTTAGGTTTGTTCCCCAAAAGACTATTTTTCTTTTTTTTTATTCTAAAGATTTATTTATTTGAAAGGCAGAGTTACACAGAAAGAGACAGAAAGGCAGAGAGAGAGAGAAGTCTTCCATCCACTGGTTCACTCCCCAAATTGCGTCAACAGCCGGAGCTGCACTGATCCGAAACCAGGAGCCTGGAGCTTCTTCCAGTTCTCCCACACGGGCTCAAGGGCCCAAGGACTTGGGCCATCTTCTCCTGCTTTCCCAGGCCACAGCAGAGAGCTAGATTGGAAGTGGAGCAGCCAGGACTCAAACCAGCGCCCATATGGGATGCCGGCACTGCAGGCAGCAGCTTTACCCACTACGCCACAACGCTGGCCCCAAGACTATTTTTCAAAGAAGAAAACTACCACATCTGAGCAAGAAGATGTTTTTCTTCCTTCTTCCCTTCTCCTTAGTCAATGTAAAGTCTAAATAACTGCTAAGTGGTATTTAATTGTTCCTCTTTAAGAAATCATATTTGCAGGTCATAATGACCTTAATAATTGCATTATTATCAGCTCACCTCAAAGTAGGCCCATTGAGATCCCAGCCTACGACCCACTTGGGACCCAGAAGGCGCATTTTCCAAAGACAGAATTCCCCTCTGAAGACTGGCACCCACCAGTGGGCTGCAGGTGGAGGAATGGATTTCCCTGGCATTACCCTGCCTGGGTAACACAGTTGAGCTAAACACTGAGATTGCTAATTACTGGGAAGTGAAGAAATAGCAAGCAACTCCAACCCATCATGACACCTGTCTTTGGAGTCAAATAGGGGCAATTATATTTCACGTAAGTCAGCTCACAGGCATGACTAACTACTTACGAGCAGCCAAATTGTTCTCAGGGTGTTGAGTGTTTCTGAAACCTTGGTCCCTCATCTCTTCCAAGGAGCAAGCTTAGGTTTGTGTGGCTGGATTTGGCCACCACACTCCCAGGCTGGGCTCAGATTATCAAAGGACTTAGTGGCTCAGACTCTCATGACCGACCACATGAGCAACCACATTCTGATATCTTGACACCTCCGCCAAGATCCTGACACTGTGTCTCGGCCGAGGAAGGCCCTGATGCAGGCATTGCCGTGCTAATGGAGCTCACATGTTGAACAGCCATGTCTGGTCCCCATGGGCTCACCTGTGCAGCCCAGCTGTCCAGCTGCTGAAGTGTCCCCAGGGGCCCAGGACACAGGTGGCCAGGGAAGCTGCAGGGTGTGAGGTCCAAAGACCCCTTCTAACTGTCTCCCTTGGCATGTCTTTGGGATGTTCTCACACAGAATACAGCACAGGTGTGTGAGAGAGGTGGGCATAGCAGGGGTGGTCAACCCTTTATCTGCCAAGGGTCATTTGGCTCTTTATAACATCATTCGGGAGCCATACAAAATGATCAACTTAAACGTTAGCCTGCTACAGAGTTAGTGAATTCTGAGTCCCGCCTGGGGTTGCCTTAGCCCAGCCAGACACAATGATATCACCAGCCCTAAAAGGAGAGGTCCTTCTGTGAGAACTGCTGACGGATGAGCCAAAGGCCCTGCCAGGCTGCTGGCCTATGTGACAGAGGACCCCCACCTGCCCCCCAACACACACAGCCTTGTCCAATGATGGGAGCCAATCTCATGGTTAAAGAGTCACTCTGGGGTCAGCGCTGTGGTGCAGTAGCTAAACCTCTGCCTTCAGCTCCGGCATCCCATATAGCTTCCAGTTCGAGTCCCAGCTGCTCCACTTCTGATCCAGCTCTCTACTGTGGCCCGGGAAAGCAGTAGAAGATGGGATGGCCCAGGTCCTTGGGCCCCTGCACACGCATGGTGACCTGGAAGAAGCTCCTGGCTCCTGGCTTCAGATCAGCACAGCTCCAGCCATTGTGGCCATCTGGTGAGTGAACCAACAGATAGAAGATCTCCTCTCTCTCTCTCTCTCTCTCTCTCTAACTCTGCCTTTCAAATAAATAAATAAATCTTGAAAAAATAAAAGAGAAGTATTTTTAAATGAACGTGAGGCCCGTTTAACTTCCTGAATCAGTCTCTGCTTCCACACACCTGGGTGTCTCCTGACTTTAACTGTATGGATGAAGTGTGAAGATGGGGTAATGGAAGACCCACTGCTCAGGAACGGAGGCAGCTGGGTCACTACGGGGGCAGCCCCCAGGACGATCAGTCAGTCTGCTCAGGCTGCCGCCCACCCCTGCCTCAAGGGGCAGGCTGAGCAACTCCGAGGGTGCTGTGCCTGGTGGGGGAGGTGGGGGTGAGCCAAACCAAGCAGTAGCTGATGGCAGCTGCAACCCACCTGCTTCTTGGAAAACAGAGGACCTGGGGATGCAGGTAGAGTCGGGGCCCCTGCAGTGCAGAGAGGGAGAGCCCATCTCCTGGCGGAGATGTGCTTGCCAACAGCAGGTGCCTTCGGCAGAGAGAGGCTGCAGCTCACTGTCCCTCTGGGGAGCCCCATGCCCCTGCCTGGGGATGATGACTCTGATAAGTGACTCTGATGTACAGCAGCCTCTGGGTGGGTACTGCTCCCAGCACTTGCCTTGACCTGGCTCCCAGTCCTGAAATGGCCATCAGAGTCTGGAGTTGGGGAGGAGCCTTCTCACCCTGTCTGTGGTGTGCAGACACGAGCCAGAGGCAGGAGTTTAGCTCTGATGCGTCAGTGTGTGGCTCCACAATGAGCCTAGAACACACCTCCCTGCTGAGTTCAGATTCCCTATGTACGGAGCCCAGGACACCTCCACATACTGAGCCCTGGTCTTGACTTGCTGAGCTCAGGGCACCTCTGTATACTGAGCCCAGCTCCCGATCATGGGCTGAGTCCAGAACAACTCCATGTATTGAACCCTGATCACCTCCAGGTGCTGAGCCCAGGATACCCCCAAGTGATGAGGGTAGCTCTTGAGTAAACACGGGGAGACCCAGGGTCCAGACACAAGGTTGAGCTCCCAGTTCGCTTGCAGTGTCCAAGTACCCCAGCAAGTTTCCCTCCTCTCTCCAGGCCCCTGCCCACAACCATCTCCCCCACTCCCTCGGGGCCTCCCTTCCCCAGCAGTGGCCACATCTGATCACACAGCATGTGGTGGGACGATCTACATGGCCCCTGTGACAGCACACACGTATTTCAGGAAGGGGAAGCCGACAAGGACGGCCACTCTGCTGACTCTTACAGCACCTGAGCCTGGACTCATTTTTTTTTTCCTTAAGTTCAAATCCTGGGGGTAGCACCGCACTCCCCACACAGCCTTCCAGTTATCTACATCTCTTGTAGTCCCAAACTCAAAGGACAGGGTGGGGTTTTCACAGCCTTAGCACCTGGAACCTGGTAGCCCTCAGTTAATATTTACTATATGAATCAGGGGAAATGCTGGCTGGAGCTCATTCACACTAGCATGTAAATGACTGATTTCCATCATTTCCTGAGAGCAGCTTCCGCCAGGGGAGAGGAAGGGGAAAACCCCCGAGCCGCGACTTGCACACCGGGAGACAGGAGGCTCCAGGAAGGACGGAGGCGGAGGCATCATCAACCCAAACTTTGCTTATAAAGGTCAGCTTCGCTCTGCACACCTCCTAAATGGCTCCACTGGAGGGGAGTCATATTTGAGTAAGTGAGAGGTACCGCAGACAGTTTTTCAATTAAAAACTTCCCGAGGCGGGATGGGAAACTTGGGTAGCTTGAGACATCAGAGCTTCTAGGTGCAGGGCACAGACTGAGCAGGTGAATTCTAACTGCCGCTACTTGGTTGGAGCCCTCAACTGCAACCAAGCACCTGCCGCCCACTTCCCCCACACACTGTGGCATTGGCGTTTTCACACAGACTCATTAGCAAAGAGTAGGGCCATTAAATCACATAGCCCTGGTGGCAATTTCTTAACTCCCTTCCATCGCCGTTAAGCACAGAAGTGGAAGCCAGGAGCTCCTCGCAGAGGGCCTGTGCCCGCTGGATGCTGCTCTCCTCTGAAAAATCACAACCTGGATTCATTCCAGAGACGAGATGAGATGCTCTGACAGCCAGACACAGCCCTGCCTCCCCTCCTCAGCACTGGACTGGAGCCCAGCCCCCGGCTCTGGCACTGCAGGATCGCAGAACAAGTTCCCTGTTTCCCCTTCCCAAGGCCCTGCTCTTTGTGCCCAAGGCGCACCTGCTGTCTCCCCTCAGCTCCCATCAACTTCCCCTGCAGGCGGGGCCACCAGGTGCACCTGCCCAACTCCTTCCTTCCCATGATGCAGTTCTAGGCGCAGGATGCTCTGGTCCGCCATCTCTACCATCACTCTCACCATCATCTTCTCTGCTGCTAACCAGGCGCCCCTTTCTGCTGGGGCATCTGTATACCCCAGAGCCTCTGGCCACTGCCCTGATTGCTTGAAGAAGTGTCCCACAGCACAGACCCGGTAAGAAAGCTACTTATTACAAGCCACACGAGCAGACCCTTCCCGAAGTGAAAGGTTCTAGGGCTTGGGCAATTAATTCCAGAGACCAGGCAACGAAGACTTTGTTACTAGGAGCTGGGTTCTCTCCCCAACCCCCACTCCATGAGTTAGAATTCTACTACAACATGGCATGCCTAATGCAGTTGTGCTGTGCTGATGGCTAGGGGACACACCCTTGAGTGGGACAACAGGACGTGGCACAAACCATCTGGGAGGTGTGGGGGTCATTTGTAATAATCATATTTCTATTTACCTCTGTCACACAGTAAAGCTCATGAAAACTGTAGATACTAGTTCTACTTAAAGTTGTTTATAACAAATCCCATTCATAATACACATTTTCAAGTTTTTAAAAATGTATTTGAACGGCAGAGAGAGAGAGAGATTTTCCATCCACTGGTTCACTCCCCAAAAACCTGCGACAGTCAGTGCTGGGGCTGGCTCAAGCCAGCAGCTGAAGACACAGCCCAGATCTCCCAAGTGGTTGGCAGGAACACAAGTACTCAAGCCATCACCTGCTCCCCCCAGCTTGCTCAGTAGCAGGAAGCTGGAATCGGAAACGGAGTGGGTACTTGAACCCAGGCACTCCACTAAGGGCTGTGTCTCAATCCCCTTACGACACATCTTGATACTGATTAGCATTCAGCGTGGCGGCGTCACTGAAGACATGGAAACCCCCCAATAGAGGAACAAGGAGAGCGTGACACGGAAAACGTAAAACAGGTGAAACAGAGACGTCGCTCGGGCCAAAGCATGGAAGCTACAACTCGTCTTCCTCAGAACCAGCCCAGAGAAAGATCCGGGCACCCAGCCACTCACGTCGCCATCTCAGACTGATTTTCTGACCTGCAAACACTCCTCTGCCCTTCGAACTCCCTCCCTGGTTATGAATTCCCACCCACCGACCCCCTCAAAATTACAATTCCCAGAGCAGACAGATGAACCTCTGTCAAATAGCCCATTTCTTTAACAAGATAGGCTCTTTCTTTTCTGGAAATGGCTGCCCGCATGTTAGTCATCACAGATCGTGTGGTTTTCTTCCAGGCAGTGCTAAGTAAGGACAGTGGTTCCGCGATCCCAGGGAGCCTCGCGGGGTTGGATGGCGCCTTGAAGTGTTTGGGACGGGACCCTCGGCAGGGAGGGTCCTGCGGGAGGCCGCAGAAGGCTGCCCCAGGGAAGCAAAGGGGTAGGAAGCAAAAGAGGAGAGCCCCATCCTCACCCCCTCACAAACCTGCAAATGAACTGAATTCGCGTCTACCGTAATTATCCTAATGGAGGGGGGACCTCAATCAGTGCCACAGAGAAACGGGCCGTCCCTCGTAAATGAGCAGAGCGCCTACCAGAGCTTATGGAGAGAGCTTGGGCGACCCCTGGAGACACCCCACCCACTCACCCACCTCTTGACCTCCAGCCCACCTCCAAATCCACGCTTGGAGGCGCACGTGTCACCCACAGGGCCCGAACCCTTGACGGGCCCACACCCATAACAACCGGAAGGGTGTTTGTTGCGCTTCCAAAATTCAGCCCCAATTACTGCAATTGAGATATCAGTGTTTATATGCTCCCAGGATGCCATGACTAAGAGCTGTTCACCGGAGGGCCTCTCCGACTGTGGGAGAATTCTTTGTGTCTCGGGAAGCTCCCCAGTCTTGTTCCTTTCTGAAGTCCAAGTGTAAGCTGAGCACAGATCACCAGGTGCATTGAACAGTACACTGGTCACATTGGTGAGCTGGGCTTTGACTTACACGCCTTGGAAAACCAGGTCTCTATGACACGATTGTGCACCAGACCGTGTTGTACCCTGGGATGACCGCGGTACACCACGGCACACCATTTATACTCTCCCTCGGAGAGCCTCCAGTGAGGCTGAGAGAGGCAGGAGCCCAGATCTACGTGCCGTAAGCCCGTCCCCTCGGCCCTCTTTGTCTATGAAATAGGGGCTCTGACACATGCCTCATCTAGCCGCCAGAGTCATTGCCGTGTCCAGACCAGGTCTGGGGTCCATTTAGAGTGCAGTGGTCCTTGAGCTGTGTGTAGGCACCCCCTGACCATGACCTTTCCATGGCCATGCTCCCTAACTGATCTCCTGCTATGGTTTGGATGCGGTCTGTCTCCCAAGAGTTGACGTGTTGAAGCTTTAGACCCTGTGTGGTGATGTGACAGGTGGTGGGGCCTGTAAGAGGTTGAGAGTTGTTTAGGTTGTTGTTGGTGGGGGGGGGTTGACCTCAGAAGGGAAATCCAGAATTTCTCACGGGACCCTGAGTTACCTCTCGCAAGAGTGTGAGTTGTTACCTGGAGGCCCTCCCAGCTCTCGGCTTCCTGTCTCACTATGTGAAAATTTCCCTCTCACAAGCTCGTGCCATGATGTCATCCTTGCGGGGACGAGGTGGCCACAGGACTCCCGTCAGCACCTGTGCCCTGCAGTGTAGACCATCAGCCTCCAAAACCGTGAGCCACATAGACCTTCTTTCTTGACAAGTTACCCAGCCTTGAGTATTTCATTCTATTAAGAAGAGGCTAATATTTGAAAAACGTGTGCTCATGTCTAGAAACATTTGGATCCCATTTTTAAAAAATCCACAGGGATATCTCTGGTCCAGTAGGTGAGACACCTCCCTGGATACCTGCATCCCGTATTATTAGATGCCTGGGTTTGAATCTTGGCTCCACTCTCTGTTCCAGTTTTCTGCTGATGTGTATCGTGGCTGGCAGCAGGTGATGGCTCAAGTTAGGTCCCACCCATGTGAAAGATCAAGATTGAGTTTCTGGCTCCTGACTTTGTCCTGGCCCAGCCACCGCTGTTGTAGGCATTTGGGGAATGAAACAGAAGATGGAAAGTCTCTCTCTGTCTCTCTCAAAAATAAAAACAAACCAAAAGAAAAAAATTCCACAATGCTGCAGCAATTCCTGGCTGACTCAGGCTAGCACTGAGTAGGTTGGCCTTGTATACTGCCAGTGACTTATAGGCAATACCTCCCGCCTCCCCAGGTTTTATGGGGTACAACAGAACCGGTTCCTGGGACTGCCAAGGCAAAGCACCACAAATGGGTTGTTTAAAACAATGGAAATTTGTTCTCTCCCAGTTCCAGGATCCAGAAACCTGAACTCAAGGGGATCGTGGGGCCTGCTCCCTCTGAGATTCTGTATAGGATTTTTCTCACCTGGTCTGGATTCTGGTGGCTCCCACAAATCCATGCCATTCCCTGATGCACAGCTGCATTGCTCCAAGCTCTTCCTCTCACCGTGGCCTTCCCCTGTGTGCCATGTGTCTCTTCTCTCCTTACAAGGACACCCAGCATCCTGGGGGCAGGAAGGCACCCTAACAACTTCATCTTAACTTGATAGTATCTGCAAAAAGCCTCTTTCCAAATAGGGTCACATTCACAGGTATCTGGTGTTAGGATGTCAGTGTAGTTTGGGGGTACCTAATTCTATCCACAACACCAAATAATTTTTCCAAAGTCGCCTCCCCTAATAACACCATCTCCCACTGGTGCTCTCCCTAAAGGACCACAACAATCAGGGCTGGGGCAGACAGAAGGCCAAAGCCAAGAACTCCATCCAGGTCTCCCACCAGGGTGGCAGGGATCAAGTACTTGCTGCCTCCCCAAGTGTGCATGAGCAGGAAGCTGGATCAGATGTGGAGTAGCCAGGACTTGAGCCAGCAATCCAATATAGGATGCAGGCATCCCAACCAGGCGCTTAAGCCATTCCACCACCACACCAGCCCCCAGCAGTGTCCCAGCCACCAGCAGATCCAACCCCACCATGAAAACTTTGCCATAGCAAGCATCTGCCAGTGGTCTCTGCAGGGACGTGGCTGGCAAGTATAAGCTGAAAAAGAGCTGAGCCCATGACTTCCCATTGCTTCTGCGGCACACTGCTGATGAACAGGGCAAGTAGCACTTCTTTCATTGCCAAAGCATCAGCACCAGGGTATTGCAAGGAAGACAGGTGGTCCCTCTATAACCTTTCCACTCGCTTGTGAATTTTCATACCCCTTCACCCACCAACCGATACAGAATGGACACAATTGTGCCAGGTAACCGGGTACGTAGAGAGGCTTCGCTGTGACTTAAGAAGGTGGGCTCTTCTTGCAGGCCAGCTCTCTGCTGTGGCCAGGGAGTGCAGTGGAGGATGGCCCAAGTCCTTGGGCCCTGCACCGCATGGGAGACCAGGAGAAGCACCTGGCTCCTGCCATCGGATCAGCGCGGTGCGCCAGCCGTGGCGGACATCGGAGGGTGAACCAACAGCAAAGGAAGACCTTTCTCTCTCTCTCTCTCACTGTCCACTCTGCCTGTCAAAAAATAAAAAAAAAAAATAGAAGCTGGGCTCTGACATCAAGACACTTGTCCACACATCCTCACGGGGACTGGGGAAGGCAGTCCCCCGTCTGTACAGTGGGTGCCTGTCGTGCTCCCTCTGCTGCGGGACGCACTGAGCTGAAGCCAGGCTGAACATAGAGCAGAGCTCTGGTATAGGGGGTGACTGCATCAGTGTTGCCACCACTGCCGCCACACCGGCTCACCCTGCCACCTCCCTTCTCAGGGCACCCTGCAGGCCTGCTGACTCCAGGGATGTGCAACCAGCAGGAGGCAGTGTCAGGAGGCGGGGGCAGGAGGGATGGAGAACCAAGGGCATCCTCTACCTTTGCCCGTGCCCAGCTTACGGGCCACATCCAGTCCCAATGCAGACACATCTCCTCTGAGGCCCACTCCCACCAGGACAGCCCCTCACAGCCCTGCCCAGGGACATTCCTGGGCAAACTGAAATTCTAAAAGCTTGCAATATTGCAAGGAAGTGGGCTGTAAACACTGATGCAAGAAGAAAACCATCTAAAACTTGCTCCCGGCTACCTGTGCGAATCTCAGAAGGTCTCGGTCCTCGTCTGAACAGTAGGTGATGTCCAGTGACAGGAAGAGGGCCTTGCCGGGGCCACGTGAGGGTCTGTGCTCTCTGACAACAGCCATGCAAGCCATCAGCCCCTGGGAGCCACTGGCATCCACATGACCTGCTG